CGATGTGGGAAGATTTGCATAACACCACCCAAATGTTCACGCAAAGAAAGAAGGCGTAACTTTATTGTTGCTGCCGTCGCCGCCACCATGTTGTGAAGACGCTGTGTGTTTCGTTGCGAAAATACTTTGTTTGGCCCTCCAAAAGTGGACTAGAAATCAGTGGTTAAGTTGTATTTACAACACTGTTCCAGAACACTTCAACCCAAATATTCAGATGTGTGCAGCGCATTTTATGGAGGACTGTTTCCTGATCCTGGGAAAGTAGCCTACAATGCCGGCTGTTCTGACTTAGACTGTAAGTACGTTTTCATATTTAAAGGATTTGCCACTGATGATTCAAATGCGAGTTTTGAGCAGTGGGCGGGGCATAGAGGAGAAACAATAATGTACAGTATGTGGAAAATAATGTGTTTTTTAACCTTAAACTGCATAAACACATTTCATTACACCAAATACACAAAATAATGTTCTTTTTAGCAACATCATATGACCCCTTTAAATCTACTCAGGATATAATTGTAAATAGCCTACTACAAGTGAAGGAACCACTGGCCACTCCCACAACTCCGCCCCTTTAAAAGAACAAGATCTTTCCACTGAAACTCATTAGTCATAGCCATTAAGGTGCCTCATAGAAACTCATTTAAATATTATTGCTGTTCTCTGAGAAGGATGTAGGACAACTCACTGCAAATGATATCACGTTAACCTATCAAACACAGACCGGCTTTGGGCTGTCTTGTAAACATGGCGATAATTTCTTCTTCTCTTTTATTTTTCACTTCACATAAAAAGTTATATGGCTTTTCAATATCCCCATCTTCAGGCTCTCTGGTTGTGCCCGGCTTCATCTTTGAGAACCACAGTTTTTATTGAATGTCCAGTTAAATGTTTATCAAGTTCCTCTTGTCAAATAGGTTATTTATCAACTTGGTGGATTAATCAAATGTTTACTGACTCAGATTCTGGTTTAAACATGTCAATGTATGTATTTACAATTGAAATCTCCCATATGCGTTAATTGCACTGCAATTGTTTACACTGTAAAATGTCATATTGTTAAACAGATGACCCTCTCTCTTATTTGTTTTAAGTTGTCTTATCAGGAAAGCATTAATTAGTTATTGTTGTTTAGCAAATACACAAATCCTACATCAGATATCAAATATAAACAAAACAAGATAAAACTACAACATACTGTAGAATAAATGAGCCATTAGAGCAACTGAGTCAACTGAAAAAAAAGTTTATAATTTCATAGGGGAAAATTGCACTTTAAAGACATTTTGGTCAACTTAATTCATCTTCACACCCATGATAGTTTTGTGAAAGCCACACATTTAGAGCTTTAACATTTGTGTGGTTTTGGTATTGATAAGTATTTAATATTAATGTCATGATAAAAGCATGAGTAATGGTTTAGCGTTTTGGTTTAATAACAACTTAGTAATACTTTTGTAAACAGTAACATTCCTACTCACAAAAGTGAATTTAATTTCAACATTGCCACTCACTCCTGCTTTCATAAGTGTGTACACATCTGAAGAGTCGTGTCTTTTTCTCCAAAGTGAACAAAGCTTGAACTGTAAGAGACATATTGACATAATATGATAGGTTACCACAGTTTCGCTCTATCTGCTCTCTTTCGCAGCATGTTTTGCATTTTTTAAACTAAAACTGTTTAACCTCCTCATTTACACCTATCAGTTTCTTACTTTCACTTCTGTGTACACTTGTTTTTGGATTGCGTCACTAAATTGAATCCTTATACAACCAGGAAATGGGCATCTAAAAATATTCTACATACGACTAGATTTTATGACCTGCAGTCGAAGTTGGCCTATATTGCTACCAGGACTTTGAATTCAGTAGTTTGTGTGTTCAAGTAATGGCCTACTGCTAACTACTGAAGAAGGAAGACTTGTAAATCTCTATTGTACAGTATTTCATTGAGGAAGTTTATAAACAATAACAGCAATGTTTTTCCAGACAATTTCCACATCCCTTGTGTGTTTTAAATATTAAGAAACATTTAAAATATTATGACTACATGTTTTGATAACTGTGATACATTTTAATGTTTCAATATGTGTATGTATTTAATTTTTTTTTTAATTATAGGATTTAAAATGAATAAAGTATATAAATAACATAATTTTTGCATTTTCCTCACTTGGATTTACTGTATGGCTTAAAAAAAAAAAACTAGTTGTGTATCACCCAAGTCATATAATTTGACAAGCAGATTTTTTTAGGTGAACTATTCCTTTAAGACTTAAGCATGCATGCATTATGGCCTACAGGTGTTTGCATTGGTGTTGTCAATGATTGTCCATTAAAGAGCATTTTTTACAGGTCTACATTAGGTTATCTATTAACATCGACAAATAGTCCCAACCTTTGGTTTAAACAATATTTTACCGGAAGCTACATTGTCTAAGTGCTACACAGAAAGCAGCTCCCATTTTTTCTGAGGACGCTAACCAATACCAAGATTGTGCCTTATCACCTAATGTCAGAATCCAGGTAGGTCAGCCCTTTTTCTCAGAACAGGGGAAGTTTCTACCAGGACAGAACATTCCAGCCGTCCTTGAAGAGGAGATTCAGTGTGTCAACACCCACCTCCATGCTTGAATGGTCCTTTGGTGATTTTGGAGATTCCTGATGTAATAGTCTGAAGGACAGTGAGCCTCAGTGAACACAAGAGAGAGCACAAAAGAGATTTTGAGGGAGTTTGAAAGGAGAAAGTGCAGAGACATGGCGGCTTTTGGTCTGGAGTTAGTGGGAGTCACGCTCTCGGTTCTTGGCTGGCTTCTCAGCATTGTGTCCTGTGCTTTGCCCATGTGGAGGGTCACCGCGTTCATCGGTACCAACATCGTAACGGCGCAGGTGTACTGGGAGGGAATCTGGATGAGCTGTGTGGTTCAAAGTACTGGACAGATGCAGTGTAAAGTCTACGACTCCATGTTGGCTCTTCCCGCAGACCTACAGGCGGCCCGTGCTCTGGTGGTGGTGTCCATCATCGTGGGTGTCCTTGCGCTCTTTGTCGCTATAGTGGGGGCCAAGTGCACCAACTGCATTGAGGATGAAGGAGCCAAAGCCCGTGTGATGATCAGCTCTGGTGCTGCTTTCATAACGGCCGCGGTCATGCAGCTTATTCCCGTGTCCTGGTCGGCGCACACCGTTATTTTGGAGTTCTACAGTCCACTTATTCCAGAAGCTCAGAAGATGGAAATAGGGGCATCTCTGTACCTCGGCTGGGCCGCCGCGGCGCTGTTGCTGGTCGGAGGCTCCATCCTGTGCTGCAGTTGCCCACCTAAGGATGAGACGAGGTATCCGCCGCAAAGTCGTATTGCCTACTCAGCCCACCACTCAGTGGCTCCAAGTACCTACAACAAGAGAGACTATGTCTGAGGACCTCAGAAGACTTTGATTTTTACTGTCTGTCTTTCATTGAAAGATAATTGTAAGTTGAGTTGGAGGTAACTCAAAATGTTGTTTACTTTTTCTCCATGTGAATATTTCTACATGCTGTTGTTTTGTCCAATCAGTGTCCATTGTCACTCCAGACTTTTTTTTAGATATATTTTAGCACCACTTGCATAAATCATCTTGTGTGGTACATTGTTTGGACTGTATGTTTTAAATCAAATTTGTAAGTTGATTTATAATGGGAAAATGTCAGTGGTTTTATTTTTGTAGTCTTTTGTGCTTTCATTTACAGTTTGAGCTTTAGCTGTTTGAGAATTAATATTTTTTATACTTTCATTTAGCCTAAAAGAGTAATAACAACTTAAAACAAAATGGAAAATCTTGTACTAATATGTTTATACTTAGCTTGAACTGCAATCAACTCTGTTAATATTTAGTTGTGTTTATGGTTTAGGCTATTTCAGTGGCATTCTCATTCTCTGAAACACTGTTAAAATCGGACAGAGAACTGTCTAGATATGGAAAATATCTACACAGTAGCTTTGGACTTTAGCGATGACTAACAGCCAGATCTGGACAACACAACAGAGAAACTAGACTGTGTGCAGGCACCTCCCAAAGTTTCGTTAGTTTATTGTTCATGTTTGTGTGTTTGTTGTTTATCACTAAATAATTCGAACATGTATTTGAATAAGTATAATTGATTTATAATTTAATTCTTGATTATCAAAAACAATTAACACCAATAAATTAAAGAATCTCCAATGTGTTTATTTCAGTTCTTTGATAATTTGTTGAGTTTGAGGGCTTTCCACACTGCGCTTAACCAAGAGTTATATTTTTAAACATTGGGTAAAGGCCACTTTTACCCCTGGGTTAAGCAACGTTTCACATGTTGCAAGATGGTTATCATGGTGACAGTGTAAAACAGTGGGGTGCTATAATGTTTTAGCAAACACTTATAAATCAAAGAGTGCTTACCTCATTACATATTCATGAGCTTTGTTTTTTTTATTTATTTTTTTATTCATGAGCTTTGTTTGTCACAGAAACTTACACGCAGTGACGTTCAGCGACGGCAAATGCGTTAACTGAGGAGAAACTCTAGTACTGTACACCTAATTAAATCGTTTGAAAGAGTATAATAAACAGATTTGTTAAGGTGAGTAAATAGGCTATCGTTTAAATGAGGTAACGAAAAATGTCAGTTTATTATACAAATCTATAACAGACTCCAACTCAACATAATCACGTATAGCTATATCATTTTCGCTAAATTAATAAACTAACTAATGAACGAATGAATGAAATTAATAGACTTAGCAGTGTTATTGCATTACTGCTTGACACTTGGACCGGTAGGCCTAAATGATAATACTTAATTCAAGATTAATTCAATTCAAGTTTATTTGTATAGCGCTTTTCACGATACAAATCGTTGCAAAGCAACTTTACAGCAAATTAGGTTTCTACAGTATTTAGTAGCAGCTTATCAGTGGTGACTGTCAGTAAATAAACATATGGCAGAAATGTACGGAAAAATACATAAGACATAATCAAACAGATGATGAACACTATTAACAGCAATTATTATATGATGCAATCAAACTTATAGCAAAAAGTTTTTGTAACATGTAACAAATAACAAGTTGCTATCTAATATAACACCCAGATTTTTGACTGTAACAGTACATCCGTCTAGTTGCAAATTGTAATCCAAGAGATTCTGTGTACTGTTATTTGGTCCAATAAGTAATATCTCTGTCTTATCCGAATTTAATAGGAGAAAATTATTGGTCATCCAATCTTTTACATTTTTAACACAACACTACTTAAGTATCTTAATACTTTTGTTCCGGCATTTCACCTGCTCATTTCGTAATTTGTAGTGTAAAAAGGTTTAATTGACGCTTTAAAAAGATTAATCAACGCAGACGCCATGTCTGATGCAAAAGTGAGGCTGTAATAGAGTGACCAGACGTCCCGTTTTTCCCGGGAAAGTCCCGTATTTCAGCTCTTTTTTTAGTGTCCTGACTTATTTTGAAAAAATCATGTTTTGTCCCGTATTTCAAAATTTCTTTACAACTGGGTGATCAGAGCGAGTAAGTGTTCTGTCGCGCGAAAACAGCCTAATCAAAGGTAAGTAAGCTTGTCGTAGAACCAAAATTTCCATCCAATCACAATTAGTTATGGATTAACTTGCAGTAAGTGAAGGCGGGATAGATAGGCGGAATCACGCTGAATGACACACCGCGCGGCCGCGCGATCCCAGTTCTGCGATCAATTCTGCCTGCACCTTAATTGTTAAATACACATACAGCTGTCAAAATGTCAATCATGTGGAGTATCTCACGTAAATACAGTCGGTTATGGCTTAAGTGAACGTAAACAGTTGGGTGAAACCGGATATGTGTCAGTATTCATTCGGTCTTAAAGGGACAGCAGCCTAAATAGCTACCTGTCTCTTTAATGTTAATCAAACAATAAAAGATGTTAAATAACGTATACATATTAAACCTACTGTATTAGAAAAACAAGTTTATTTAATATGTATCTATTGTATTTTTCTTACGGTTTGTAATTTGCTTTATTTTTATAAAAAAATAACTATGTATGTGTGTGTATGTAGGTTATATATATATTAATTTAGATATCATGAAATAAAATTTCTCATATCGTCTCGGGAAAGCAGTGTTGGGGTTAACGCATTACTAGTAACGCGAGTTACGTAATCAGGTTACTTTTTTCAAGTAACTACATTACTTTTTAATTTACAATAAAATATTTGAGTTACTTTTTCAAATAAGTTACGCAAGTTACTTTTGTTTTCCCATTTATTGATTGACAGCTCTCCTGTCCCCATGTTGAGAGAAAGCAGGAGTAAGTGCAAAGGCGTTGTGTGCAATGTGTAAACATGATGGTTGCTGTAGTTCTAGACCAGGGGTGTCAAACTCAGTTCCCCTGCTCCACCACACAAACCATGTAGTTTTCAAATAAGCCTGAAGGACGTGATTAGCTGGATCGGGTGTGTTTAATTAGGGTTGGAGCTAAACTCTGCAGGGCTGTGGACCTCCTTGACACCCCTGTTCATGCATTTACTCATCTCACATGCACAAAAACTTGTTCAGTATTCCTCAAAATGAATAAAAACAGTGAAATGCAAACCTGCTATAATTAAATGTATTAAATAACACAAATATCTTTTATGTATTTAATCCCATTTTATTAACCAATATCTTTGCTGCTGACCTTCAGTGATGCATATTAATAAGCAAAAGTAACTTAAGATAAACATGACATTTGTTTGTCTTTTTTTCTTGTTTTTTTTCTTTATTGCTAAAGAGTGTTGAACTTTCTTCTCCTGCATTCTATGCTTCATGCAATCCAGAATGGCTGAGGTTTATTAATTTCACTTTTTTGTGAAAGGGCTTTTACATTTGCCAAAAATATAAATTTTTATATTAAAAACAAACAAGCAAGCCCAGCCCAGATTAGAAAAAAGTAACGTGAAAGTAACATAATGCATTACTTTCCATTAAAAGTAACTACGTAATGCAGTTTTTAGGGAGTAATGCAATATTGTAATGCATTACTTTTAAAAGTAACTTTCCCCAACACTGTTGGGAAGACATATTTCCGATGTTTGTGACAGTAGTACAATCTAATGAATAAAATTTCCTCTCAGAAATCTCAGCACTCCTTTAAAATGGCATATTCTGATAATGTTTTGGGTTTGTTTCCATAGCATGCAAATAGCCTAGCTTTTAAGATATCATTCAGACACTAAAATAAACCATTAGTTACATCACTAATGCCTGTTTATCCTGTTTTATGATGCTGTAGACCAAGAAGAGGAAACAGAGTCAACAATAATGATTTTTCTGTACATCTGTAAAAACCCAACACCAACTCATACTCACAAAAACCAAAAACACACTTTTGAAGTCAGTCAATAAAATCCGTTCATCAACACTGTCTTGAATCTTTAGAAAGTTGGAGATCCCTCATATACAACATCACTAACATCTCCAGTGTGATTCAGGTGAAGTATTAGCCCTCTGCTCCACCCCCTTGATTATTGATTTGTTCCTCCAGGTGCTTTTTCCTGGCTGAGCCTGTTTCTCTACTCCACACAACGTTAGTAGGAATTAGATTACAAGGGAAAGCCAAAACCAGCATATTGTTCTTCTCCCAGCAGTGGCCACAGCAGGCAGGTGACGTGCACAAATCTGTATATCATCCTCTATGTCATCACGTTAAGGTCCTCCTCCACTCGCACCTGTCTCTTTGGGAATATAAAGGCTGCTTGGCTTCACAGCACTTTCACAGGCTACACAAAGAAAGGAAGAATTGGGACGCAGACATCTATATCAACATCTCAGCACTAGGTAAATGACATTCCTCCCTCCATTATTTAATCTTCTGTTAGTACAGCTTTTATTTGTGTATAACTCGTCACAACTAAAATACATCTCCTTTTCCTAGGTAAAAAAGTACCCCTAAACGGCATCATGTCGATGGGAATGGAGATCGGGGGCATTGCCCTGGGCATTATCGGTTGGATCATTAGCATTGTCACTTGCGTTCTTCCAATGTGGCGTGTTTCGGCTTTCGTTGGCGCAAACATCGTCACAGCACAAATCATCTGGGAAGGTTTATGGATGAATTGTGTCGTACAGAGCACTGGACAGATGCAGTGCAAGGTCTACGACTCCATGCTGGCTCTGTCTCAGGACCTTCAGGCTTCCAGAGCCATGTCGGTCGTCGCCATCATCTTGGCCATCCTGGGAGTGTTGATCTCCATCATGGGCGCCAAGTGCACCAACTGTATCGAGGATGAAGCATCCAAGGCTAAAGTGATGATCATCTCTGGTGTGATGTTCATTATTGCCGGCATCCTGGAGCTCATTCCGGCGGCTTGGGTGGCACACCAAACCATTCGGGACTTCTACAACCCGATACTGAACCCCGCTCAGCAAAGAGAGCTTGGGGCATCCATCTACATAGGGTTTGCCGCCGCTGCTCTGTTACTGATTGGAGGAGCGATGCTGTGCTGCACCTGTCCTCCACGGGAGAAGAAGTACAAGCCACCAAGAATGGGCTACTCCGCTCCACGCTCCGTCAGTGGTG